TTGAGTGCAGCTGGTGGTAGTTATTCCTCAGGTGAGAGTGGTAATTAACTCCATGGTGGAATCTACTGGAGCAGCTGGGTAGCTGCTTTAAGGATGTGATCTGCTTCTTGTATATAAGAAACAGCTTTGGGAATGGTGTCTAACTTATAGCATGCTTGAACCCTGCATGTAGTCAAATAGTTTGTTCAGCAGACTGCCATGCTCTGTCAATCACGGGACTTTCAATGGCCTTGAATCAATGGACTACCATGTTGCTTGGTAAATTGGAACTGTTCCTTTTTACTTATTGACATTGGGTTTGTCAGCCTCAGCAGTTGACTGAGAGAAGAGATGCCTCTAGCTTCAGTGGGCCGGGAGTAGGAGGCAGAGCTGAAGCCCAAGGTCAAGGGGCTTTAACCCAGCCCCTAGAGCCTGGCACCTTGAACTCGGACTTCTATCCTCCTAAACTGTAAGAGAATAAACTCTTGTTCATTCAAGCCCACCCATTTGTGGTATATTCCTGTCAGGGTGGCACTAGGTAACCAGAACAATGTCCAAATCACATAATGTCCTATTTCACCGGGTGTATGGACGCCACCACACATACCTGTTAACACATACCTGTAACACATACCTGCATTCCCTTGTCACATCAACAGGCAAAGGTAGCAGACGAAGTCTTGAGAGGCTCCTCCAGTCATGGATCCCTGCCTGTTTTGGCCCAGCACCATGACCCTTTGAGTTTAGGAGACCCTCAGGGGTGACATATGCTGAGATCTAGAGTTGTCTGTCCCCCAGCTTGGCGACCAGCTTGCTACGCCTCTGGGAAACCTCCTTTCTCTCCTCCCTCAAATCCCACCTCAGGGCCCCTGGGCCTCCCACTGACACATTTTACAGACGGGGAAACCAAGGCCTACAGAAGAAGTCACACAATAGATTAAAAGGAGGTGATAAAATCATTCATCCGAGGTGCCCTTGCATTTCAGCAGGGAACCATGGGGCCATGCCTTCCTGTGAGTAGTGAAGATCCAGTGACAGGCTCTCTGGCACCTGACAGGCAAGCGGGCAGCCACTTGGGATCAGGGGATCTGCTATGGACTGAACTGTGTCCCCTAGAAGATACGTTGAAGTGCAAACACCTGTACCTGTGAATATGATCTTGTTTGGAAAGAGGGTCCTTGAAGACGTTATCACTTAGGTTAACATGAGGTCATACCAGTGTAGGGTGGGTCCTGATCCTATCTGAGTGCTGTCTTTGTAAAATAGGAGAAAAGTGGCAGAGGGCCGTACAGAGGAAAGTGGCCATGTGAAGATGCAGCTACCAGCTAGGGGAACCTGGGACTGCCAGGAGCCACCAGAAACTAGAGGCAGGGAACAGTTTCTCAGAGGCCACAGAAGAAACCAACATGGTTGATAGCTCCTTCCTAGACTCCGTCACTGTAATCTAATAAATTTATTTTCTTATAAACCATCCAGTGGGTGGTATTTTGTTATAGCAGCTCTAGGAAACCAAGACAGAGTCTTTCTGATACACAAGCCTCTCTTGATGGAGTGAGGAGCACTGGACCAGGAGTCATAAATCCTTGCTCTCCCACCAAGTCACATGGGCAGACTCGGTTCCCTCTTTGGGACTCAGTTGTGCTCTCTGTACAGTGAGGTCAGACTAGGCACTCTTGCAGCGTGGATGTCCGAGGAGTCCTTGGATGGCTTGTGGACCCTGACACAGCTGCCTCTGGCTGAAGGAACTGTGTTCTCCAAACTGCACCACTGGACACTCAGCAGCAGAAGCAAGATCTCCATTCCCCAGGTCCCTGGGAGGCAGGAGCATCTGGAGAGACAGGGCAGCGTACCCTGAGGAGATGCCGGTGCCCGGAGGAAAGTAGGGACCTGTCTCTCAGAGCAGATGCTGAGAGATGAGGAGACAAAACCCTGAGCTCTCCCTCCTGAGAACCCGAGGGACCCTGGAGCCCATGTGCCCCCACAGCCTTCCCCACACCCACAATGCCTTCTCAGAAGAGCACTCAGCGGGAATAAAGGAGCCATCTGCTCACCCTCCCATACCCCTAGAGACAGAAACAGTTGGGTTGCAGCTGGAGGGCCTTAGATTGGACTCACAGACTGTCAAGCCATGGGATGCCAGGACCCAGGCTTGAGTTCATCCCTCAGGGCCGAGGAGGGGCAGCAGGAGGAGCTGGTTAATTGTATCCACCAGAATTTGCCCTTGACCTGCACCTTAGAAGATGGGTATGGCAAAGTGATGCCCAATGCTCTGAGCCTTGGGGAAAGTCCTCGTCCTCCAACCTAGCAGCCCCTGAGCTAGACCTCCAGTGGCTCCCCATGGTCCCTGTGCGTAACAGTGAACCTCTGCCTGGCATGTATGGCCTGCAGAACCCAGGGACCCCTGGGCCCCACTCATACCTCCCCTTTTTGTCCATATGTACTGAGCAAGAGTCTTCCTCCTCACTGCTGCTGAGGTTTCTGTGTCTCCCTACCCTGCTCCTGGCCCCTCCTCCAGGAAGCCCTCCCAGATGAATGAAGTCTCTTTAACCAAGCTAGTTCCTGAGATTAGTTCCTTGCTGAGGGTCTTGGCCTTTCTCCTCATGGAACAGCAAAGGTCCAGTGGGGTGGTCTGGGGTGGGGCCAGTGAGGTTGGGGTTAGAGAAGCTTCCTGGAGGATGAAGGCCCTAACAGAGAGAGCCAACCTGACATTAAATGTCTTGAGCCTGCCCTTGTGGCAGTCACAGGCTTAGATCAGCTTGAACTCATTCCTACCATACCTGGCCTGCTTGCAGGATGGCCAGAGGGCCTGCTCAGACACCTTGCCAGCAAATGGCCCTCAAAGGGTGATATCTGTTTGGAACTGTGCTGCCCCTTACAGTAGCCACTGTCCACGTGTGGCTTTTGAGCACTTGAAATGGGGCTAGTCCAAATTAATTTTAATGTGCTGTGTGTGTAAAATACCTGCTGAATCTAGAAGCCAAGGTATGAAAAAATAATGTGAAGTATCTCATTAATGATTTTTAATATTGATGACATGTTGAAATGATAATCTTTTGGAAATAATTGGGTTAAACAAAAAAACCTTTAAAAATAAATAAATTAATTTGGCCACTTTATGTTTACTTTTTTAATGTAGCTGTTTGAAAATTTGAAATGACACATGTGATCACATGATGTCCCTTTCATCTTACAGAGGAAATAAGCTTCAGGGGGCTGTGGTGACACATGGTGCAGAGTCCAGGCCTCCCTCCCCGGCTAATGGGGGAACCATGGGATGTGCTATAGAGGCGGGCCAGAGTCAGCTGTGGAAATGGGGAAGATTCCTGTGGAGTGTGGATGGGTGGGCAACCATGGTAACAGGGAGGAGGTGGTGGCCAGTGAGTGGCCAGGAGAGAGCGGCCAGGTGGTGGAGGTGGGCATTAGGGGGATGGAGAAGAGAGATTTAGGAGGTAGAGTCCACGTGACTGTGCATGAGGGACAGTGGAATCCAGGTGGGGTCCTTCTTGTGGACTAGGAACCCTGCAGGCATGCTGACTAGTTTGGACACACAGCAGCTTTGTAGACCGGAAGGGTTGTGTTAGGAAGCAGCGAGATGCTCGGGTCTGAGCCTAGGAAAGAGGTGGAAGGTGGAGAGTCTGTTTTGGGGCACCTGGACTCAAGTTGTGGGTTGAGACCAAGAGGTTGGAAGGGAACAGGTTACAGAGTGAGAGAGAGGAGCCCATTCTGCCCTCCCTTGGGCTCACACCAGAGCAACTGAGCTCAAGGGAGGGAGGAATGGCATGGTGGCAGCCACCTGGAGGTGGTACAATGGCCGTGATGTTCCCAGCCAGGGATGTTGGCCAGCCCCTCCCGGGGTGGTGGCACAGAGAGTCTGGCACTGCAGAGGATTTGGGAAATGGGAGCTGGTTTTATAATTGTCCCAAAGCAGCCAAGAATCCTCACTCCTTGAGTCCTTCTCCTTAATTCATGTCTTAATTTAAAACTATTTTAAAACTGAAACTGGCCTCCTTATGTTATAATCACAGCCCAAGATCTGATCCCAGATGGGATGTTCCAGCTGGATCCCAAAAGCCTCCAGCAAATCTGGCCTCATAGGACCCAGGTCTGGGTCAGAATCCTTGTCTGGGGCAAGATTGCCTCCTAGCTGTGATGCTGGACACACTTGGGGCACCCCAGGCAAGGCCAGCTCTGCTCTGCTCACTCCCACAGACCCCAGCAAGCACCCCTCGCTTCTCCCCAGTAATAGCCAGGGGTGGCCTTCAAAGAAAGCCCAGGCCAGTACCCATAGCATGCTGAGACTACACCCAGGGGAGGGACACAGGTTCCCTCCAAAGCATCTCCTGGAGAAGCCAGGCCCTGGGCCCCAGGATGTCTCCCTTCTCTGGGGTGGGGCTCAGTAGGTAAGGTGGGTCTGAGGACCCAGCCCTTCTGGAGCTTCTTCTGTGGAAGACTTGACCCCCAATCCCATGGTTACCACCATCGCTGTTGGTGCAGAGGCCTGGGGAGAGGGTCGCCTAAAGGCCACAGCCACTGCTGCTGCAAACGGCTGAGGGTCCCTTAAGGGCTGGCCATGGCTATTTACCCTTCAAGGTCGCAGATATGAGCAGAACTGCCCCACAGGGCTGTCTTGGCTGTAATCTTTATGGAAACAGGTCACCAGGGCTTTCTCCTGTGGAGCCACTGGGTGGGTTCAAAGCACTGACCTTTAGTATCAAGTGCAAACTGTTTGTGGCACCCAGGACCCAGCTGCTCTGAAATACTGATGTTTAATTTCTTCCTCAAATAAGGCAAAAGAACAAAACCCCAAATCAGTTGACATCTAATTGATTCTGATGCCTGGCAACCCCCACAAGGTAGGCTCCCCCTTTCTTATTCACCAACAGCCCCGTTTATAACCTCCACTTTCACTGTAACAAACCACTTGGTGCCTACATTCCTCTCAACATTCTGTCTTGACACACCATCATTGGCTCCCTGATGCCAAGAACAGGACTTGGCATACCACAGGCGTTCAACTGATATTTGTTGCATGGATGGATGAGTTTATTAATTAATGCATAGGATGGATTGACATGTGAGTGGCTTTGGTGGTTGAGTGGGGGATGAGGGGAGATACTACATAAGCTGTAGCCAGGCCTGCCTGACACAGCAGGTGGCTGGAAGGAGAAGGCCATGTCACCTCCAGCAGGCTGGGTGCTCATTTTAATGGCCTGGCAGTGAGGTGCATGCACGGCAGAGGCCTGCAGAAGAGGTAACACTGAGAGGGCAGTTCTGCCCACCTCTAATTATTGCTTGAGTCTTTCTGGCAGTGTCAGCCGCCTACCCCAGGAACATGGACTTGTCCATCACAGTGTGGGCTTAGGGCAGCTGCTGCTACTGTCAGTGGGGAAGACAAGAAGATATTCTTAGGGGCCTTTGGGTCTTGGAGAGTGGGGTTTGGACCCCATTCAGCTTCTGTCCTTCTTGTCCTCAAGGCAGCTGAAGGGAGCCCCTGACTTGAAAGTCTCCAGAGTGGCCAAGGAACAAGCTGGCTTGAGGGTGTCCACAGCACCCCCAGGCAGGGAGCCTCACATAGTTTGGTGTCCGCTGACATGGAAGCCCTTGGGAAGATGGCGCCCTAATGGTTAGTTGGGCAGGTGCTCAGGCCCGGAAGGAGGCCTTGACCACACGGCCCTTCAGTGGTTGTGGTGGCCGAAAGTTATTCACCATGTGGATCCTCTCGTCATCCTCTGAGGTAAAAAGCAGGCTCCGGAACTTCTCCATCTTGAGGAGGCAGAGGAGGATGCTCAGGGCAGAACGGGGCATGCTGTGGTCCTCTCTGACCCCAGGTGCACCGTCTAGTATTCCCTGGTCAGCCAGCTCTGCCCCTCCCTCCTTTTTCCCCACTCATGCTCTTCTTTGGACCCCTAATCTCACTTGCTTACTCACTAAAGGCGTCTGAATCGGTTTCAGTTCCAATTCCTTCTAAGACTGATGAGATTCTAATACAGTAAGAGTGATCCCAGGATCCAGAGATCTCCTCTTCCTGCCTGTGTCTAGGTCTTAATGACTAACAGTCAAGTTGCCCCCCAACCAAGAATCTGAACATTCATTAGCAATAGGTGGATGCCTTGATGGTGGGACCTGTGGCCATAGTTGGTGGTGTGACAGTCACACCACCTGTGGTGGGCCAAGTGAAGGTCCTCTCTCTGGTGCTCTGGGAGGACCCACCTGCCTCTCAGAGACACAGATGGGCTCCCGAAGCACAATCCAGGTGACGCTCTCACTCAGTGGGGGTGTCGTCAGGGAGCCGGGGTAGGTCCAGTAGTGCCGGCTGGTGGGCAGGAGGCACTTGGGGTTGAAGCAGCTGAACTGGGCCTTGGTGCCCTGTGGCAGGGTGTGGGGGGGCCCGAGAATCAGCACAGACCTCATACCAGGACCAGACCAGCAGCTTCCCCACTCACTTCCATTGGCCGGATTTCCTTGGTCCACTGATGCAAATCATGGGTAAATATTTGTGATCCCAGATGCCATCTTCCAGCCTGGGCCAGGCCCCCTCCACATGCTTGCTTATATGGACAGGCTGAGACTCCTGGAGCCTGTTGGCCCCTATGTCATCTCCCTTGTCCTCAGCTGCCTCCTCCCTAAGCCAGACCCACTATTAATGTGACAAGCTACAATCAGCCCTACACCCAGTCAGGCTGCAAGGTGAGCACCTAAGGGGCCACTGCCCAGATGAAGAGGGGTCAGCCACAGGGCACTCCAGGTGCTCTCCCGCACCCTTCCTCTCAGTGAGGGTTTGCTGCCAGAAGTGGGGACTGGATGGGCCTACTCTGTGATCCAGCCTCTTCCTCCCTCTCCACCAGGCTGTTCTGGGTAGGGGCATGGTGGGCTTAGGCCGCTGGTCTCACCTTAAACCGGACCATGTAGAGCGCATCTGTCAGCCGGTTCATACTGGGGTGCTCATCCCCTGTCTGCAAAGGGGAGGGCACTGTGAGCCCATCACTGACGGTGTTCTGGAACTGGGGCAGTGCCAGGCCTTCCATGCCCCTCTTGGTTCCAGGAATCGACCACTCACCTCCAAGAAGACCCCAATCACAGCCAGGCCGTCGGGTGCTGAGGCTGCCTCCCCAAATGTGCTGTACTTCTTGGCATTCCAATGAACCAGGTGCAGCTACGGGGCAACAACAGGCCAGGCCCGTGCTCAGCACCTCCTGGGCATTGCGGGCTCTGAGCCACGCTTCTCTCATTGCTACCAGACATCTGGCACCTTTGCACCTGGGGTCCTGGGAGGCCAGGGGAGCCCAGGAGAGCCACCCTGCTCGGGACTCAGAGGAAATTTCTCAGGCCCTGCCCTTCAGTGACCTAGCTGTGAGACAGAGAATGCTGGGTGACACCTCTCCGAGGAGGTGGCATCTGCAACTGAGTCCAGAAAATAAGCAGAGGGTTATAAGATGGAGCCCTTGGGGAACAGTGTTCCAGAGAGAATCGCAGAGGCAAAAGCCTGAAGGTATGACTGAGCCAGGTGTGGGCAGCAGATTCGTCACATGTAGGTCTCTGTGGGGAGAGGTCAGGGGAAGATGAGGGTGGGTAAAGCCAGTTGATTCAGGGCCTTGAACGTCCAGCTAAGAAATGATTAATGGTGGAGAGTCCTTGAAGGTTTGTCAGGAAGGGCAAGGTGGGACGGATTTGCCCTTCAGGCATACAGACCAGGAGAGCAGTAGGCAGAGAGTGGATGAAGGCTCCTCTCCCCAGGCCCCTAGGTGCTCTCCTTACCCCCTCCAGAACCCCACCTCAGGCACCCTTTATGCCCCTGACAGCCTAGTGCCCCACTCCTTCCCCACAGTAGCGGAGGGTCAGAGAACCAGGGCCCTTACCTCGCTGGGGAATGATTTGCCATCCACCGTGTGCTCGGAGCCCATGTCGTCCTTCTTACCCCAGTGGAAGTGGAACTGCTTGAGCCGGTAGGGCTCGTCCAGGGGGCCCCCAGTCACCACTGAGGGCAGAAGTAGGGTAGGGTAGCATTGGTGTGAGAGGACCCACACGCCTGGTGGGCAGCAGCTCCAGGATCAGGGCAGCCACCCAGGAGACGGATACATTTTTCATTTGTAAAATGTGTTGGGCTGGCTGGACCCGGCTCAGTCCCCATCCAACTAACTCTGCCCTTAGTTGAGCCAGGGAGGAGACTCTGGCAAACTACAGGGGCAGAGAAGTCTGGGACCCATAGAGAATACCTCTCCAGCTGGCCATCTTCCTCACTCTTGCCCAATTTCTCGTGGAGGCTGGACCTTCACCTCCCAGGCCCCCATTACCACTAACAGCAGGCCTTCCATGTCAAGAGCCCCGACCCAGGGCTGGGTACAAAGGACTACCTTGTTTAGTCTTCACAGTAGCCCAGGAGAACAGAACCTATTATTACCTCTGTTCTATAAAAACTGAGGCACCAAGAAGGTAAGGCGTTTGTCCAAGGTCATACAGCAAAGCACTGAACTAGGATGAGTCTGTATCTCCTAAGTCCAAAGCCCAAGCTCCTAATCAGCAGGCTGCATTGTTGCCCCAGAATGTTGGAACAAATGGAATGAAGAGGAATAAATGGGGCCCCCGATCCCCAGTGTTACCCCAGCAGAAGAGCCTATAGGGTCCCCATTCTCCTGGCCAGGCCCAAGTCCAACCAGTGCCCTCCCCACCAACACCTTCTTTGTGGTGGGTCTCCACTTATGTTGGTTTTGTGACTTTCCCACCCCAATGCCTGGTGAGCTGGGGCCACACACAGGGCCTCCTGGGACTGATTGGATTTCCAGCTGAAAGGGATCTGGCCCATGAGGGCACCCCAGCCAGGCCTGAATGTGAGCCCCTGGATCAGGTGACGGCCCTGAGCTCAGAGTTCCACGGGGCCCCTCTACCACGGGTGACCAGGGCAGGGCGTCATCCTTTGGGGGCCCCTTGAGAAGGAGGACGAGGCAGCCCAGAGGTCCTCTTTGCTGTCCTGCCTTATCTGAGAAGCAGGGGCTGTTTAGGTGATGCCGGGCAGTTGATTGACAAGGGTGGTCTGGGGGTGGTGGCTCTGAGCAGGGCCCTAATCAGGCTGTCCTGTTCTGGGGAGGCAAGAGCAACTGGGCCTAGAGGCTGAGCTCCCTGATAAAGCTTGTGGGGGCCTGCCCCTCGGAGAAAACCCCACTGGGACCCCAGAGTGAGGTCTCCCCAGGAGGGAAGCCCCTCCTAGACCCCTTGAGTCCAGCTCCCTCAGCCTCCACCCTCTGTCCTAACCACAGGCCATGCTGTCATTCCCTATGGACTCACCATGTGCCCAGCACTCTGCTTGCATCAACCCATTTAACCCCTACAGCAACCCTGAGGGGGCCACACTGTTACCCCCGCTGGACAGATGTAGGTCTGAGGCCACACAGTTAGTGAGTGGTGGAGCCCCAATTATCTCACCCTTGAGCCTCTTTCCATTGGCCCCTGCCCTCTTAGGCCTAGGCACTCTGGCTTGCTTCAGGCTGGACAATCAGTAGTCCACAGGCATGCCACTTGGCCTTGCCCCTGACAGTTGCCTTCACTGAGCTACTGATGTTGTTATGTGCCGTAGAGTCGGACCCGACTCATAGCGATCTCTCCTTGTGTTTCCGAGGTGGTATCTATACAGAAGTAGATTGCCCAACCTTCCTTCTGAGGAGTGGCTGGTGGGTTTGAACTGCTAGCCTTCTGGTCAGCAGTTAAATGCCTTAGACACAACACTGCCAGAACTCCTGATAGGTATCAATAGCTGACTTGATATCAGCAAACCATTAAGTAGGGTCATCTAGGACCCCACGTCCTCTCCCCAAAGCTCTGGGTAAGAGGTTTTTCTTAGAATCAGTACTGGGAAATGTTTCCTCTCTCTCTCCTGACGATCTGTTGAACTTCCTCTTTTTTGCAACAAGAACGGGACTGATCCTTTCCTTTTTTCCCTAGCCTACTAGGAACTCAGGGCTAAGCAATTAAGATCACCTTCTTCATGAAAAAAAGGGGCTCTTGTGGCAGAGTAGTTAAAGCATTTGATTGCTAACAACAAGGTCGGCAGTTCGAATTCAGCAGCTGCTCTGCAGAAGAAAGGCGAGGCAGTCTGCTTACATAAAGATTTACAGCCTTGGAAACCCTATGGGGCAGTTCTACTTTGTGCTATAGGGTCACTATAAGTTGGAATATAGTGGGTAACAGTAGGTTTGGTTTGTCATGAAAGGTCTGGCTTCCCCTCTTTGCCTTTTGATTCTCTATTTGAAATTTAAGTGCTTTCAGTGTGTTTGTGGAGGAGGGAGAAGAGCAGAGTGACTTCCTTACACAAGAAGCTCTAGCAGGTTCCCTTCTCTTCCCACTCCACCCTCCACAGGCTTGGTCATAAGGACAAAATCCCTTCTGCCTAGGAATTTATCATGAAAGAACCTGGACTCTAATCCCAGGACAAAGAGGCCTCAGAAGCTGCCGTGAGTTCCCTCTGGGCTCTCTCTGGGCCACGCTGGTTGGAACTTTGAGATTGTGGGTGGGTTGGAGAGAAAGACTTTTGGAGCCAGGCTGGTTCTGATACTCTCCAGCTCCTTGAGCCTCCACTTGCCCACCTGAGAAGTGGGTTCTTGAGAGGAAAAAAAAACATGCTATCTGAGATCTTAGCCACAGGCCTGGCACTCAGACCATTCCCTTCCCTTCTTGCTGGGCCTGGCCACACTGCACAAAGAGGAGGGTTTGTCCTTTGGCCACACAGCAGGTCAGTGGCGGGGTGGGGATTGAAAACAAGCCCCAGCTAAAGCACTAAATGGAAGGAGAGGAAGGCCACTAGCATTTCTTAAGCACCTGTGTGTGCTAGCACTACAAACATCATTTCAGTTCTTCATCTTTCCTCTCCACAATCCTCGAGATGAGGTTGCATTGCTTCCATTTTATGGATAAGGTAAGTGAAGCTCAGCCTGAGACTTCATAGCTAGTAAGCAGGGGTGCCCCCTTTCCCACCATGACATGCCTGACCAAGGTTAGGACAGGAGGCAGGCTTGGCAAGGGCCACTCACCAGTACGGTCATCGCTGTCATTGAAGTCCACTTGGACAGAATGGCCATTGTTGGTGATGCTGAGGGATGTGCAGGCCTCATAGGAAAGCTCCAGTGGCCGTAGGCTGGGTGAGTACATGGCCTGGCTGGACACGATGTTGATGGGTGACTGGCGGTTGCCCTGGGCAATGGGATACAGCTGGTGCCACTGTGAGGGGCCTGCAGGTGGTGTGGGGCAGGGCTCAGGCCAGCTCAGATCTCTGGACTGCAGGCTGAGGGCTCCCATGAGGGGGGTGGTCTCCTGGCATCCTTTTAGAGGCAAGCAGCCCCTCCTTTAGGGCTGCACAGCCTAGAGTTCTCAATCCCAGCACTGGCACCTCCCCTCTCAGCCTCCATTTTCTTGTCTGTGAAATGATCTCACTGAAGCTCACCTCCCAGTGCTGTTAGGCCCAGAGAGGCTCGGCATGGAAGGGAGCATAACACAGCTATAGGCTCAGGGGTGGTGCTGGGCAGTGAGTCTCCCTAACATCTAACACACACTCAGGAGGCCCTCGGTCCTCTGAAGTCTCCGGCCTGACCCTGCCAGGTGTCTGGCCAATCCCTGCACCCAGAGAGCAGAACATAAGTACTAGAGTCAGGGATAATAATAACAGAAGCTCCTGTCTGTCACACGCATTTGCTCATTGGCACCTCACCACTCCTGTGAAGTAGAAACTACCATGATCCCCATTTCACAGATGAAGGAACTGAGGACCACATACACGCATGTGTGGGTGCATGCACGTGTATACACACACACACACACACACTTAGACACTGATGTAAACATGCAACACATGCATGTACTGCCCCCAGCCTCCCTCCCCAGGCACAGGCCTATAGGTCCATAGAGATCTTCATATGGGCACACATACGTGCATAGTGACCGGAGCTCACCAGGCCCACCAACACACACATGTACACACACACACAGCAGACCACATCGGACACATGCATATGCACTCTCACACACAAATACCCCTTGTCACTAACTCAGGTCTGCATGAAGGGCCCATAGCAAACACATGCCCGTGACACCCACACCTGCACATCCATGCCCACGGGCGCCCACCACCTGCCTCCCAGAGGCTCCATCTGCAGCCGAGAGGCTCTGCATCTCCCTGGGGAACATCCTGAGATGCAGCCTATTTTTAGAGTCACTGCCGGCTGGTGCTTCTCCCCCTTTTTGGCTTCTTAAGTTTTCCTGGGAAAACAGCAGCAGGTGCCGACAGAGCAGTGTCCCCAGTGGATGACTCAGAATCGCGGCCGGCCCCACTGGGTTATTTTTGAAGTCCTGTGAGCACTGCCGCATGCCAGCACCTCTGTCCTCTGTCCTTCCTCTTTGCCCCCAGACTGGGCCACCTGGGTTGGCTAGGTGAGGGTCAGGGCCTTGCTGGACATTGGATGTTCAGAGCTGGTGGGCAGGACTAGCAAGGAGGGCTGGAGCCAGGGGCAGCACCTGGAAGCCGGTTGGGAGCTGTGCACACAAGTGCTGGGGGAGAGGGCATGGTCTTCCACGGGATCTGCCAACCTGCTTCCCTGCCTCTCCATCTCTGCTGCTCTCTGTGGCCATTCTCTGAATGTCTTTTTCCTCTTTCTAGCTCCTGCATGCTCGGAAGATCTAGGCTTCTTCCCTCACCTCAAATATGCTCCTGTATCCTGAGGGGCTCAACAGGGGCGAGAGTCCCCATAGCACCTCACTGATTCCCTCCGGCCCACTGCAAACTCCTAACCCCCAGACTTCAGCCCAGCCTCCTCCTCAGGGTAGCTGCCTTTTCCCAGAGAAAGTGGGGATGGAGGATGCTTCTCCCACTAACACTTTCCCTTCTTCCCACCTCCACTTACACTGCCTAGGTTTCCAGGTTCCTCCTCCAAGCCTGGATCCTGGTCGTTTGGGGAATGGGGGAAACTGAGCCAGGACTGGACCCTTCCCGTCCCCCGCCCCCGGCCCCTTGGTGGGAAATAGCCCAGAATGGAGTTGGTTTGCCCTAGATCCACACTCGAGCCATCGGGCTCTCACCTTCTGCCTCTTCTCTCTTCCACTGCATCCTAAGGAAACTGAGGCAGGATCAGACCAGGAGGCTGTGCCGCTCACGGGTTCCCAAGGCTCCTACCCAGAAGTACTCAGACACCCTGCTCTGTGCGTGGACGCCCACACACATGCATGCACCGCCAAGTGCCCCCTTCCCTCACCAGTCAGCACGGTGCTCAGATACTCCCGCGGGTCAATTCTCTCCCAGGGACACCGCGCCCTTGCCCACGCGGAGTTCAGCTCCCCCAAGGTCCCTGCCACACGCCGTGAGCGCTCCCCGCACAGACATCCGCGCACAGCGCTCTGCCGCGACCAACCCCGGTGGCCCGGGGCTACCTCCACCCAGCTGCGCACGCCAAGGGTGAGTGAGCGAGGGTCGGAGCGAGCAAGGCAGTTAAGGGCTGCGCGGAGGAGGCGGCAGGACGCTCTCAGCCTGCCTGACGCTCGCTTGCGGTGAGGCCACCCGCGCATAGCGCGGACTTTGCGCCGAGCACGGGGAAGCCAGGGTTCGAGGCGAGTGGGTGGGCCGGGCTCCCAGGGCTGAAGGGGGGGGGGGTGTCCCAGTCCTGCCTGGAGCTGGGGGCTTGCGGGTCCAGATGAGCATAAGGGAAGAGATCGAGAAGGTTGGGGTGGGCCGGGGTCTGCGCCTACCGTCGTCCTGGCCGTAGCCCCAGCCGTGGTGGCCAGTCATGCCGCTGCCGTCCCTGCAGCAGTGCACCTGTCCGCTCGGCTCGGTTCCGCTCGCTCGGACTGCGGCTCCGGCCCTGCTTGCTGCGCGGAGAGCCTCTTAAAGCGACAGCGGGCGGGAGGAGCAGTTCTCAGGGGACCCGCCCCCTCTGCCCCCCCTGACTTCTCCACCCTGCAGCAGGGCGAAAGAGGCCGGCCCCGCCCCTCCCCCGCCGCCGTCCAGGCGTAGACCTGGGAGTCGAGATGAGGGGTCAGGGGGAGATGAGTGTCTCCCCCTCATCCACATGACCTGACGACTCACCTTGTTTTCCCCAGCAAGTGGATGGGCGCTGAGACGTCAGCCACCACTGCTGTGGGCTTGCCCTGGTCCCCCACACCCCCTCCCTTAACCAAGTTTGTCCTAGAGCCTTGAATCCCACTGCTGGGGACCTGCGCTCTGGTCCCTGATGGCACTGACCACCAATGACCAGAGCTGGAGGCTTCCCTGTTTGCCAGGCACTGTAGCAGGTGCAGGGCCTTCCTCTCATTTAACCATCTCAGCTACCCAACCACTTTAGGTAGTCCAGAACTTCCTGGGGCTCACAGAGGTGCAGCAGTTCCTTGCCCAGAGTCACCCAGCAAGGGAGTCTCCTGTAAACACCATGTTCCTTACCATTTTCCCTTGAGTCTCAGGGTAACTGGGGGGGGGGGGGTTCAGTGAGGGGGCGTATGTCTGAGAGCTCTGCAGTAGAGGCATGGGGGGCAGGACTACTAGGAGAGTGTGGGCAACTCAAACCCCTGACCCAGGCGGAACCAGAGCCCCCAAGTGGGGAGTGGGGGCAAGTAGCATGAACCAGTGAGAACAGACAGACACCATCTGACTTCTCCACAGAACCAGGTCTGAGGCCCAGCACCTTCTCATTCTCTCTAATGCTTCTTTCTTCTGTTGGGGCCTCTGCCTGTTCCTCTACGCCCGTTCTTTGTCCTTCCTCTCCTTGATGCCCACGGCTCAGCCCCTCCACCCTGTACTCCACTCCATTTCAGTGCCTGCCTGGGCCCAGCATATTCCCACCTGTGAGCCCTGGTCCTTGCATCAAGCCCTCCACCTGGGATGTCCTCTGCCTCCCACCCACTGGTTTCAGCCAGCCTCATTTGATTCATTTTAGGATGTGGCCAGCATGCCAAGGAAGGGGCTTGCCTCTGGCCAGGCCTCAGCAGGTGGTTTGGGGAAGATAGTTGGGTGGCTGGATGGACAAATGATCCCACATGGGCCCCTGTATCCAGCAGGAGTAGAAGGGCCATTAGTAGAATGTCTGCTGGGCAGACCTTGACTAGACTATTCCAGGGTCTTGTCCATGGTTGCCAGATAGAGTGGTGGTGACTAACTGATGACTGGTTGGCTGATTGGTTGATATCAATGACTTCTTAGCCCTGCTGAGATGTCTCTCACTGGCCCAGGAGTGGGAAGGGCCCCTTAAGAGAAATCTAACCCTAGGTTGGGGGCCAGGGACTCATGACAGAGATGCAGGGGTGGCCCCTGAGACCAACATGTGACAGTGACTCCAACATTGTCAAGGCCCCAGGCCTCCAAGCCAGGAATGCCATCTTTAGGCCACCAGCCACCCTTCTCCTGAGGGAGTACCAACACTCTTAGGAGCCTGGGGCTGGGCTCAGATGGATCCATTGGCCTACTTCCTCCTCACAATGACCCAGGTCTTTTCAATATTTTATTTATAGTATTTAAAAGAAATAAAATTGGAATTATTCATACAATCTTGTGACTAGCTTCATCCATATAACAAACCTGTAAGGGATTTTCACCCCATTTTACAGATAAGGATAGCAAAGCTCAGAGAGGTTGAGTGTTGGGCTAGAAGGTGCACAGTGAGTGATTGCTGATTCTCTTGTTCAATATTGTCAAAAATCATGGAGAGGAAGTGGATTCTCATTTCCATATATATATGCAAAGATTTGCTCTGGAAGGAAGAACGTAAGAGAAGCTGCGTTGTTAGGTACTGTCAAATCGGTTCCGGTTCTGGGTCATAGTGACCCTATACGCAACAGAATGAAACACTGCTGGGTCTTGTACCACCCTCACAATCGCTGCTGTGTTTGAGCCCTTTTTTGCAGCTACTGTGTTTGCTTCCAGGGAGGAGACCTGACCCTGAGGGGTGGGGGAGGGTGCAGAATGGGTCAGGAGGGACACTCTTCACTGCTGACTCCTTTGTACCCTTTGAAATAATTAAAGTGTGTGTTACTTTAACAACCAAAGAAAAGTTGATCCGTTTTTTTTTTTTTTTGCCTGTCTTCAGCTCTTCTGCTCTGGCTGCTGGCAACTCAGGCAGGTGAGAGGGGCCCATGGAATTGGCTCTTCTCTGATGAAGCTGTTGTCCCAGCAGCCCACTCTGGTCAATCTGGGACAGTCAGTGCCCTGCTTCAGCCCCCTGCCCTGCCCCCCACAGCCTCAATTAGGTGCTATTTTTAAAGCAGAATTGATTTCTCCGCTCTTACTCTTTGTTCTCACAATAGCCTTGGTGGGTTCTGGTTTTTGTTGTTTTGTGGGGACGGTGTGGGGTGTGTGGCAGGGATGGTGAAGGGCCCAAAGAGGAGGGCACGCACAACCTGTACAGCCACACCTTACTCATCAAGTGACCTTGGCCAGATCTCACTTCCCCTTTCGGTGCTACAGCCTCTGTTCCACAATGAGGTGACCATTCCTTCCCTGTCCACCTCAAGTGAATCCCTGAGCACATTAGTAGAGACAATAGATGTGCAAGCTTGCACCAATAGGTATAGCCATGCCTCCTCCTTACTCTATATTATGTACAAGGCCAGTGGGCCAGGCTAGAAGCCCTGTAGCCTGGAGACTCTAACATAAAAAATATAATTCCTTGTATTTTTTAAACATTTCCATTCTACATATGTGTGTGTGTGTGTGTTCATGCAATGGGATGGAATGGGCCTGGGCTGTGGACACCCAGCATCACAGGCTGTGTGACATGAAGCAAGCTGCCTAACCTCTCTCAGACTGAGTTTCCATATGTATAAGATGGGAATAGAGAGTCCAGAGTGCCGTGAGGAGAGTCAGGTAAGATGATGCCTGTGAGGCTCTTGATACCAAGGACACATTCCTTAGATCCTAGGGCCTTTGCTTTTTTCTTTCCCTTAGCTTTTTTGGCACACATTTTAAACCAAACACATTCCTTTTCCAATTCTAGTAGTGACACTTATTCGTTGTTGAACATTTGGAAGAATCACGTAAAAATGGCACTACAGCAGTGTGGCTGACCTCCTGTACCTTCACAAGGGGAAAGCGTTATTAGCACTAACAGCCTAAGGCTGATTCCTATGGGGCAGAGGTCAGACAGACCTCCTTTCTCCAACCTTTACACCAATTCTGACACCAACCATACTTCCCTCGGCACTCTACTTCTCTACTGGGTTCGATAATTTGTTGCAATGCCTACACAGAACTCACAGACCATACTCACAGTTACGAGGTTTATTAGGGAAGTAACAGGTTACAATTGTAGGTTCAGGAACGTTTAGGATACAGTTCTTTGATCAGGACATCCTCTTCCCAGCTGTGCCCTCAGGTAGGCTTCTCTCTGGCTCTCTGGCCCTTGGCCTGGCCTCTACCTTATTCTGGCAAATGTTACAAAGCTGTTTTAGGTCAGTCATAAGTGCCCAGAAGCACCTCAGTTTGGTAAGTGCGCAGAGACACCTCAGTTTGCTAGTAAGCCTTGGCCTGAAGGTGTTCAGATCTAGCCCCTTGGGTCAGGAAGTCCACTGCACTATCTCCTGTTGGTGTTGGTCTCCTAGTTCTGCTGCCACCATTTCTTTGCCACTGCTTCTGTCTCTCAATGTCTCTGGTGTTGCAGGTCTTTCTGTTTGTCTCCTGGGTAGAGGACTTTCTCTGCATAGGGATCCAAGGGCCAAAGGACGCACTCTGCTCCTGTCTCTTCTTGGTGGTTGTGAAGTCTCGCTTTCTGCTTCAGAGATGGCTCACGGCAAGCCTAGAAGGATGGCAAAACTGACTAATCCTTCCATTATGGTTCCACACACCTTATATGCATGGTTCTACCTCCACAAGGGTGCCATGCACCTTATATACATTATTAGCAAGCTATCCTATCCCCTTGGTGGGCCACGAGCACCTCATTTGCATAGTCGCACACAATCATTTGATGGGAGTTAAAAAGACTATGGCTGGAAGGGCTAGCTCCTGGCCCTTCTAGCCACTGGCCTTTTATCCTTGAAAGACTGATTTCCCCCTCCCAATTATTTTACTCCTTAAAAATAGTTATTAACAATTAGTCCTTCAGTAGGGCAAAGAGCCCTCAGGGTGAGGTTACTCAGGGACCAACCATTCAGGTCTGCTGCAGGTGTTTATTTGATCTGGCCAGGTTTTCCAAAAGTCATTTTGGCTTTACCATCTCTGACTTCTGAGAAAATTTAACTGAGAGAAGATTATTCCTTTGCTCTGAATGAACTTCATGAGGTGTCAGCCTAGCAAAACCTAGAAGGGACTTTCGGTTTGGCCACTGTACTCGAATCTAGTAGGGCCTCTTCCCTTAGTCCAACTTTTTACAGTTACTGCTTTTACAATGACAGCTTTTACAAGCACAATTAACCACGTTACAAGTACAACTCACAGCTGAATTGTACAATCCTAACAGCATTCCTTCCTCCCTTCCTGACAACTATCAGGAAAAAGAGGACTTTATTTAGTGGGGATCTTCCCTGTTCCTCTTATTTTAAGTGTACGTACACTTACCAAAGTGTGTAAGCCAGCCACTTCATGCCTTTATTTTCTTCCATTTTGCATAGCCAAATTCTAAATTGCCTGTCCCTATCAACCCAGTACTCTGAGGAGATAAGCATGTGCTTCGATCTGAAGAGTATCTTGTTTTGTTTGGAACTTTTGAGCATCTGAATCCAAAGCAATGTCCAGTCCAGAGCAGGCCATCAAATTACAGCAGTATATACCAGCTCATGATGTTGAACAATTTTCTCTTTATTTTGTTGGGTTCTAGACAGTTCATCCCTAGCCCCTGTAGACTAAGCCAGGCATAGGCTCAGGAGTTTACACACTTTCTTGCACTTCAGACTAGCCAGCCCTTTCTCTTTCTGTCT